ATAAAATTTCTAGGTTTGCAGCTGGACAATCATCTGACTTGCAAGGGCCATATCAATTTTTTGCTTCACAAGTTGAGCACAGTTGGTTCTCTAATGCGTAAATTATCCTATATATTAAATATATATAGTCTTAAAGCTGTATATTATGCATATTATCATTCATTTGTGAAATATGGAATAATATATTGGGGAAATACATCAGACAGTCATAAGGTCTTTGTTATACAAAAGAAAATAATAAGAATAATGATGGGAGTGGGCCCAACTCATACATGTAGAGATTTATTTAAAAAGCTTGACATACTGCCAATCCCATGTGTATATTTGCTCTCACTGATGATAAATGTTGTTAATAATATGGATAAGTTTCAAACCAATAACTCTGTATATGTCATTGGTACCTGAAGTAATGACCACCTTCGCATACCTTCAACACATTTATCATCCTATCAGAGAGGGGTGTATTATTCAGGTGTCAAGCTATTTAATACTCTGCCGTCAAATATCACACTTTTAAAAAATGATAAAAAGCAATTTAGGTTTGTTTTACGAAATTATTTGCAAAGTAACACATTTTATAGCTCTAGTACTTAGAGCTGACAGTCCAGGAAAAGCTGCGCCGTGGATGGGCAGGTCCATTCATGAAAGTTGAGGGGTGTTGTGATTAGTCTGCATTCAGTGTGAGCGGACGTCCCAATAGCATTCTTCCTTGTACAGTCAAGTTAAAAAGTTCTGACTCTAGGAGTCGTATTTGAGTGTATTATTCTCTAATTACTGTATTAATATTGTGATGCGTTACCTTTCGTCCATCGCTGCGCAATGGCTACAATGGAAATTGATGAGTTCCAACAGTGACAAATCGAATACAAACAGACCGTTGCAAAGAAGCGTTCCCGAGGCGTTGCCAAACATGTGAATTTGGAATATGCACTTCCATGGTAACGCAAAGAACAGGGAGCCGTTGCATAGACAATGCAGACGTAATGAACGCGTCTCCCCAGGAATGAACTACAGAGAGTTTGTTGTGTCCGTTATGTAACAGCGGACAGTAGAAACGAAACGGTGAGGAATGGTGTCTGGTATCCAGTCAGCAGAACACCTACATAAGCCGAGAGCTACAGAGACAGAAGACAGCAACAAGACAGCAAGAAGTCAGTATTGGGATAGCCGTCGCCGAAGACAGTTGAGAGCCAACCATGGCCAAAGATACTTGAGACGTCGCACTGAAGTATTGGACAAGAAGTCAACTGGTGACAGTGACAACATTTTATTTTACTGTTTATTTTTATTCGTTGATTTTCTTTTTTGTTTATTTATATTTGTACTTTTTATTCTATCTCCTTTAACATGCCACCTACACGAAGTAAATTGAGTGGAAAAGTGTTCCATTCACAATCAAGAGAAATTGTTAGTAATGTATACAAGTATATGAAAGGGGCTGGGCCAACAATTACAGTGAAGAATGTAGGAGTTGAAGTAGCAAAGGGAACAGGTGTATCAGAAAGTAGTGTCAGAAGAATAATAAGAGAAACAAAAAATATTGAATCTGGGACTTCCACTTCCTTTTTGACACCCCATAAAGAAAGACCTAGGAAATCTTCACTAGCCATTTTGGACGACTTTAACGAGTCTGTGTTGCGAAGAACAATTAATGACTTATACATCGTCGAAAAACGGAGACCTACCCTGAAAAACGTTCACGAAAAGTTTAAGAGAACGTTAGATTTTCAGGAATGCATCTCCACATTAAAGAAAATTATTTTGAAACTGGGGTTCCGCTGGAAGAAAACAAAAAATAATCGGACATTGCAAGTGTTGCCCCTTTAGAACAGACCCATGTAATATGTAAATAAACTCTTCATGAATATAACAGTGAAAAGTGTATAACAGTGTATACTGCATAGCAGTCTGCCATTCAGCACTTAAAACTTAACATCGGATGTGTGAACATCAACGAGAATAAACCACCATCACTATGCAACACAATGAGGTAAGAAGGTATTTCCTTTTGAGAACGCCTCTACTGCATTCCCTGCCACACTTGTCGGCATGCTGGAGCTCTCCCCACCACTACCAATACTTCTCCTACCTCGCGTCGGAGGACTGTCACCTCTAAGTACTAGAGTCCTGGTACTAGTACTAGATGAATTTGTCGAGCACCAATACTACTCCCGTCTTCACCCTACCACCTACAACCATCGTGAAGTCGGGAGTGGTTCATCGTCCCAGGCTCTCGCGTCGTGTTTACAATACTCCCTAAGGTCGTCACAGGGAATCCAAGCTTGCAGCGGAGGGCCGTACTGAAGTTAATGACTGACCAAATAACAATAACAAGATTTAATAAACACAAACACAATATAACTCACTGCAAGAATATACAAAATATATATAAGCAAATAGACATGGCTGATTTGCCCTATATTGATCCGCACTTCACAGCATCAACTCAGCGACAAGCCCAGTTCCACTGGCCCACCGACATTATGTACAGAAGTAACTTCCTGATCAGCCACAGGCAGCCGCAAGGAAAATAAATATGATAAATGATATAAACTCCGTCTCAAGTGCAAACAATATATTTTGTGTCTTTGATCTTGCTCCCTACACTACATGTTTCGGCCTCAGACGGCCATCATCAGGTGTATAACACTCACGTCGCTGTCACACTGCACCCAGTTCAAAATTTAACATCTAAAACACTCTCCCTGTCATTATCAACTTCTACTTCGTTGATAACTGTCCACCCGTAGATTACTTCACACACGTTAATTTTGAGTTTATTGTAATAGCACCATAATAAAATCTTTAGTTCTAATTTTAAACCTTTAAATTCTTGTCCAAATTTTAAAATTTTAAAATTGTTAGGGTTATTCGCCCTGTGTTTGAAGTGCTGCAGCGGCTAGTTCTTGTTTCCACACTGTATAGGTGTTATCCTGTGTAGTCTTTCTGTGTGCGTTCTGCTGCTATTCTTTACTACGTGTAGTAGTTCTAGGACCTCAGGCGAAGGGTAGAGTGGCAGATACGGCTGGAAGCCATTACGTCACGGAAGGAGCCATTGCTTTCACATGGCTCAGTGACTCAAAAGTTAGTAGTTAATAAATGGTCTGTGTGTGTGAATTATACATTGTTGAGACTTGCTTGTTGTAAGTGTAGTAGTATGTATGATGTCTGTTGTTTGTTATGAATTTTAATTTGTATTTGTATTTGTATTTATATTTGTTCAAGAAATCCAAAAAAGGATATAGAACATGTCACAGAACTAAATATAAAACAGGATACATGCATAAATTACACGACTAGATAGTACAATGAATCAAACAATAACAAGTTTCAAAGATCCAAAAAATGGATATAAAACATGTCATAAATAATACAAAACATAANGTTAACAAAATATTTTGTCTTAAAAAAATATAAAGTTATTTTGGAAGAGTTTCAAATATGGATCAATAAACAATCATATTTCTCTTACCTAGATCTATAATATTTGTATATTGCATTGAAACTAGAACCAGTGGTGGCACAGCTGTACTGAGGATACTGGGAGAATATCACTGCACGTTCCACCCCATCTCTAAAAACACCAGCACATTTTACTAGTCAGTGAACCAGAAAGAGGTTGGTAAACAGATATTATATTCTAAATTTCATTCACAGCCATAGGAAATATAAAAACATGTAACATCTTGCAATGGCATCAAACAATAATTTATTTCAGATTATAAATCTGCCTTAAATACACAAACTGCTGTACCCGCTTCATTAGTCACATGGGGTGGTTTAAAGCAAAAAGGCTAACACAAGTGCAAATTTAAAGACATGACTTTATTAACTGTTCTTGTATTTAAGTTTTGAGGTTTTCACGGCGATGACAATGAAGAAAGTCGTCTTCTGGGTTTAGGCACCGTGTATTCTTCGTTTCGGCTACTGCTCTCCGCATTCCAAGCCATTCAACTGCTCTGAAGATGGAGGCGCTACGTTCCTCCGAAACGTTGGCCGAAACGAAGAATACACGGTGCCTAAACCCAGAAGACGACTTTCTTCATGTTCTTGCATTTGTTGCAAAAATTGAAACTGAGCATCTCCTGAATAAAAATCTAATAAAGCATTACCAGTAGATTAAATTGTCTGGATGTTCTCATAAAGATATATTTATTCTCTGTAACAGAATGAAAGTATTCAAAATCCATAAAATCAGGTAATAAACCATGATATATATACAGTGTCCGTATTGCAGTGCATCCACTTTTACCTGTCACTTCACAACATGTTTCGGCACCATAGTGCCATCATCAGGTGCTCCATTTACACTAATCTATTGCATTTCATGCCATTATGTCAATGTAAAATTATTTAAAAAGTATTTTAAAATATTCGTCAGTTATAATAAATATTTTGTATTTTGATTACAACACCCACAGCCAAAAAGGGAACACGCATCACCAGACACGATACACACGGCATATAAGAGGAACGACTCCCACAGTGGAGAAACCATGCGCGGGTTTTGAATTGGGACAGATAAGATGAACATCTTAACAAGATTTTAGTATACAAAAAATTTATTATAACTGACGAATATTTTAAAATACTTTTTAAATAATTTTACATTGACATAATGGCATGCAATGCAATAGATTAGTGTAAATGGAGCACCTGATGATGGCACTATGGTGCCGAAACATGTTGTGAAGTGACAGGTAAAAGTGGATGCACTGCAAGACGGACACTGTATATATATCATGGACGAAAATCAGTGCAACAGGACGCTAAAATACAACATTAGGTAATAAACCATTAATAAGATATATAAAGTATAGAATATACTGTCTACACAACAGCAATCAGTATTCAAAACAAAGTAGACACTACTGCATCAACATTTGCTTTTATTATGTTTATTAGAGATGCAACATGTTTCGACCCATTCGCGGGTCATCATCAGGCGTACAATGTACAATGATGATGACCCATGAAAGGGTCGAAATATGTTGCATCTCTAATAAACATAATAAAAGCAAATGTTGATGCAGTAGTGTCTTCTTTGTTTTGAATACTGATTGCTGTTGTTTAGACAGTACCGTATGTCCAAAAGGTACCCGACTTAATTTTTTTCCACTGTAAGTAATGGCAAAAGGGGTGGGGAACCTGAGCGTAGTGGTAGGAGGGACTTTCATGCGCATGCGTGATTTTTTGCTGAGTCACAACACTGCCGGATGCGTCTGTGGCTGCCAGATAGCAAAGTGGTGTAACGTGTTCGTCGCATTCTCATTTCGCTCAAGATGACAGAACACTTGGAGCAGCGATATTGCATTCAGTTTTGTCAGAAACTTGGGGATACCCAAGCGGAAACAATCTGCAAAATTCAGCAGGTTTTTGGCGATGATGCAATGGGGTCACTCAAATTAAAGAGTAGTTCAACCGCTTTAAACATGGCCGTATGTCGGCGGACAGTGAGCAGTGTTCCGGGAGACTGTCAGTGCTGATGTCATTGAAAAATTGCAGACACTGGTCATGGAGGACCGTCGTTTGGCCATCTGTGAAGTTGCTGATGAGGTTGGGATTGGCAGAGGTTCCACAAACACAATTTTAACTGAGGATTTGGTCATGCGAAGAGTGGCGGCAAAATTTGTGCCCAAACTGCTTTCGCCAGAGCAGCAACAACTCCATCTTGAGGTCGCACAGCACATGCTGGAGTGCCCCAACAGGGATCCTGAGTTCCTAAAGACTGTGATCACTGGTGACGAGTCGTGGGTGTATGGATATGACTCGGAAACCAAGGTCCAGGCGTCACAATGGAAGCAACCAACATCCCCGAGGCCAAAAAGAGCACGACAGGTTCGGAGCAATGTGAAGGTGATACTGTTTTTTTTTTCAATTACCGGGGTGTCGTGCAACATGAGTATGCACCACTAGGCCAGACTCTCAATAAGGAGTACTACCAAGAAGTCCTCCGCCATCTTCGTGATGCAGTTCGGTGCAAGAGACCGGAGCTGTGGGACGCGCGCAACTGGCAGCTGCATCATGACAACGCCCCAGCTCATTCATCACACCTCATCCAGGGTTTCCTGGCCAAGCACGGCATTCTGCAGGTTTGCCAGGATCCGTACTCTCCTGACATGGCTCCTTGTGATTTCTGGCTGTTCCCGAGATTGAAGACATGGCTAAAAGGCTGCCGTTTTGACAGCCGTGAGGACATCATACAGAATGTGATGGTGCAGCTGCACGTCATTCCAAAAGAAGCCTTCCAGAATTGCTTCCAGCGATGGAAGGACCACTGGGCTAAATGTGTGGAGTCACAAGGGACCTACTTTGAAGGGGATTAGGTATTGTAGCCACCCAGATACAGAACTTTTTTTCCCCGGCCCAAGGTCGGATACTTTTTGGACAGAGTAGTATATGCTATACTTTATATATCTTATTTATGACACACAACAGGATGCACAATATTAAGATAATAAACCATTATTTTCAGGCATATAACATTTTTCTCACTTTTCTATCAGATCCAAAGTGTCCTCAGTGAGCGGACTGGCATAACGGAATGCAACATAATATTTATGTGGTCCAGTCTCTGGTGATAATTCATCCAGCTTTTGGCACAATAGTTCTCCCTGAAACAAATTACAGAAGGCATTCAGTTCATAAATCCAAATGAGAGAAATCTTCATTAGTTACTTACTAGCAAAGCATTTCCATGTTAAATCCAGTACAGCTTCCCTCACAGAGGTTCCTTCATCTTTGGGGTTCACAGCTATTGTCATGCCTCTGAAGATGGTCCCAAGGGGCTAACACATGTAAGGCTGTATATATATAACTTGATGTCTTTTATTAAATTTGTTACACAGGGTGGCTTGTTATTCCAATAATGCATCCCATTTCTTGTGACAGCATTCTAGATGAAGATTAGTAAATGTGTACTTTGCTGAAATTATTTTCATTTAAATAATTACATAGGTTGCTCACTCTTGGGCTTTGAAAATTCCACACAATGTTAATAGCAATCCCAAATGTTGATGCCGAATCTTTATTGAAATGAAGTGTGTCAAGTAGCCTGAGGATTCTCCAGTACCCACTCATGCAGGCTGCAGAGACTGACTTGGCTCCTTGCAAACATTATCCCATCAGGCCCACAATGTATATTGTGTTACAAGACACAAAAAGTCACGTTCATGTATAATTCTGTGCAGAAGCCATCAATAGAACTGGAGGTGAAGGTTATTGTTCCACAGCTGTAGCACTCTTATAAATCATATACAGAAAGAATACAACTGGTCCTCACACAATGTACCCCAAACCACACTCTGTGCACTCTGAGACAGGCCTGTTTCATTTGCAACCCAATGAGCAGTAGCCAATGGATTAGCGCATATATCATCTAACACTTCCTCTTCAATCTGTACGCTCTTTCTGCTGCAGTGAACACGTGTTGGTGGCATGAATCCAACTGCTCCCATGAGGCTGCACTGTACTGTTGCAAATATGAGGTGGTACTGGAAAGTTCCTGGACTATTACTGTTGTAACTGCCTCGGTGAAAAGAGATGAGAGGGGAAGCCAAGGTCACATTTTCACAAGCCTATTGCATCAGTCTGCCACGTGACACTGTTCTGTGAACACACACTGTTTTTATGCGAGTGCTTTTTCAACTTTGTGTTTCGTTTCATCTGCAATGGATGGCAAAATTGAGCACTGTGTCTGCATCAAGTTTTGCATGAAGCTCAGTAAAACTGCTACAAAAACCCTTGAAATGTTTTGTGAGACTTTTGGAGAATATTCTTTATTCTGGACAGTGGTTTTTGAATGGCATTCACGTTTCAAGGCTGGTTGAGTGTCGATTGAAGATGACAAACATTCAGGGCAACCATCAAAATGACAGAAAATGTTGACAAAATTCGAGAACTCATCATTGAAGACTGTCGCTGAACAATCTATGAGCTCATAGACACTGATGGGATCAGTTATGGAGTTTGCAGGAGACGTTTACAGAGAATTTAAACATGTGCTGCATTGTTCCTTCATCATGTCACTGCACCTGAAAACTACAGAATTTGTGACTAACAGCAACATGGTTATTGTTTTCCATCCTCCCTACTGACTGGACTTAGCCTCCTGTGATTTCACTATGTTTCCCAAATTGAAAATGAAACGTTTTGAAATGGTGTCTGACATCCAAAGTGAATCGAAAGCATTATTCGACAGCATTTAGGAAAATGACCCTCATGATGCTTTTGAAGCGTGGAAAGAATGATGTGATCACTGTATGCGTCCCCAAGGAGACCATTTTGAAGGAGATGGCAGGCAAAATTGAGTAAGTTAAGTCAGCATTTCTTTCTTGCCCTAGTCCGGGAACTTTCCGATAGCACCTTGTACATGTCTGTTGGATTGCCTTCAATCTGCATACTGACACTAGTATTACCTTGATGCAGTTTTAGCACTTCATATACAAAATGCATATTAGCATGTTCCACATTAGGAAATCATATAACCTAATTGTGTTGTTATCACTGTCTTACTCTTGGAAATGATGTGAGCCAAAAGTGAATGCAATATGACCTCTGTCTTGTGATGTTATGAATGCTCCACTGCATAAAAAACCCTAAAAGTTTGAAATTTCATAACTCTGAAATGGTGACAGATATGGCTATGTAAACCAGAAGAAACTGAGGTATATACTCTAATTCTGTATGCCCTGCAACTTCAATATACCTGTCGTTCTGTCCATTTTAGTATTGGTGAGCCTCCACCAATTTCATCATACTTCTTCTGAACCTCAGGTGTCCTCCTTTTGGCTATTAATGGGCCCAGAGTACTAGAACCAACACAACATTTAAACAAATTGGCATATTAGTTGTAGTACATCCACAATGAGAGTTTTGTGCAGCTAAATGTATTACTGCCTTCTTATTTTAAGTTTTAATTAACAAACATTCACATCAACAATTCTCTAAATGTTTAGAATCCCGTTTGGTATGCGTGTTAGTTTATGCTAAAATGAAAATGCAATAAGCCATACAAATGTTGTCAATCCTTCCCACTCTTTATGCTGTGAGTCATGACCCTTGCACTGTGTTGTTTCTTGTGTAAAGCATATGGCACTTTATAGACATTTTTTATTGTTCTCTCTCAAAATATACTGCCCTCCAGCATGGCTTGCAAATGATCCTCAACATACTGCATGTTTGTTTTCAGCAATATTAATATTTTCAAATTAACTAATGTTCACTAAAATAAATAAATACATATATGAGTACTGTATACTTACACTACTACATATACAATGGCTCAAATTACTGTGGCCCTAATTATTGTCTTTAAATCTGTAAAATATTCACTTTCAAAGTATAAATCCCATGTAAACTAATAATAACTTAGTTACATATAATAGCAGACTACATTTCCAACTGAATAAGGGTGGCATTTTAAAATTTTCTGTGCTCTTAACATTGAGAGCATAACATAAGTGCATCATAAAATGGTAAACATTGATTCACACACACACACACACACACAGTATCTACTGAACTCCTGTACTTCCTGGATTTGGATAAAATTTTGTAAAAATTAAAAGCTGACTACACTTCATTTTCATTCACACTGGTACAATGAAAAAGTGTTTTATTTAATGGTATAAAGGATTGTTTTCTTGTCTTGATGAGTGTCAAAAGCTATTTTGAATAAACTCATATATATAAATAAAAAATATTTTAAAAATGTATAGAAAAATAACAAAGCATGCATCTGCATACAGTGCTTACTCTGATATGGCGTGGCCAAACATTTTCTATACAATTATGACAGCATTAGGTGAGAACCGAACAATAGCTTTCAACTGACGGGTGGAAAGTTTTCTTGAAAATAAATGACCATGGAGGTAAAACATATTATTCCGAAATTATATTTGGCTCATATCATTCATTTTCTATGAGGGCTGCAGAAAAAGAAAGTACTTACAGGTTAGTACATCTGTCCACAGTCCATTTTACTATCTGGCCTACAGGAGGGCAGTTAAAATTCAGGCAATGTGTAAATTGCCTCACATATAGTTGACCTTATTTCGCTAATATTTACAATAAGAACTACCTCAAATACGATAATTAAAGTTTAAACAAGCAAAGACTCCACCAAAGTTTCTGACATTCATTTAACAAAACAGACCTGGCTCAGTGGTCTAGGGGTATGATTCCTGCTTTGGGTGCAGGAGGTCCCGGGTTCAAATCCCGGCTGAGCCCACTTTTTTTTTACCCATTTTTTTTCCCTTGGCCCATGTTACAACTACATTCATCCATTTCTCATCGATGAAATTAAATTACTACAGTAATTCAATTATTGCATTTTTATTAACATATGGTGTGATTCATCACATGATACTCCTTGCCCTAAAGCTGCATTAGTGACTGTGATGCAACTAATGGCTACATTACTACCTAATAATAAGTATAAATGCATAAATATCATTTAAAATCCCTTAAAATCTAATGATATGTGGTATAACTAAAATATAACCTAGGGCCTATATGGTATGTGGTACTAAAAGTCTAATAGAGAAAGCCTCTTTAGACACTAGGAAATCAAGTTCTCTTTCTACATATTACCTGCTCCTTGTGCAAAATGGATTAAATGCAGCTTACTACTATTGGCAAGTCAATAATGTCATAATTTCATAAGAGTACACGCTTAACTGAACATTTGGAAACAGCTTCTCACTATTCTGATCATGTTTAGTTTATGAAGATTGAAGGAATTGGTAAAATTTAAGAGAAAATAATCTCTTTCTCTACAGTACTTGCAACTCATGTCAGTGTGAATGGAATCAATTAAGGCAGGGGCCCTCTCCTTGGGAGTAAGGTAGCAAGAGGATGAAGCTGAACTCTTCTCACCTCTATCTAATGCACAGGTTATGAACGCACAGAATTTTAACTTCTCTCCTTCTATACGTTTTCGTGATATGTTCTAGGCAAAGGGACTTCATCTTTTCCCTTTCAACTGTATTAGAACAAAAATCGAAAGCACATACCACGCTAAAAAATATTTCAACTTAGAGTGATGTTAATTAACAATATTTTTATTGTAGGCCTGTATCACATACATACATTTTGATGTATATTTTATAAATCTGATGGTTTAATTTGCTTGCTACCATTCAGTTCAGAACCTTTTGTCTTCTTGTCTGGTGTATAAAAACATAAAAATTAGGATATACAAAACTATAATTTTGTCTTTGGTTCTGTATGGGTGTGAAACTCGGTCTCTGACATTAAGGGAGGAACAAAGACTGAGGGTGTTTGAGAACAGGGTGCTGAGAACATTTGGACTGAAGATAGCTGAAGTAACATGAGGTTGGAGAAAATTGCATAATGAGGAGCTTCATAACTTGTACTCTTCTCCAAGTATAATTATAATGATCAAATTAAGGAGGGCATGTAGCACGAATGGGGGAGAAGAGGAATGCATATAGGATATTGGTGGGAAAGCCAGAAAGAAAGAGACCACTGGGAAGATCAGGGCGTAGGTGGGTGGACAATATCAAAATGGATCTTAGAGAGAAAGGATTGGATGATACGGATTGGATTGGTCTGGCTTAGGACAGTGATCAGTGGAGGACTCTTGTGAACATGGTAATGAACCTTCAGGTTCCATAAAATGTTGAGAAATTCTTGAGTAGGTGCAGGTTTGGCAGCTCCATAAGTAAGTAAGATGGTTTCATTTGAGCATTATGTAAAGCACAGGTTATAATGGATCACTAAAAACCAAAATTAAATTCTCCCATCAACTGCAAATCTGAAATTTCAGTAAAATCCACCAGCAGGCTCTGGATACGGAAGAAGGTGGACAGACAAGCAGAGAGACAGATGGATTTGTTATGTGCTTACTGTGTGCACTTATACATAAAATATCATCACTTTAATATCAGCTGCGATGTTTGTTATTCTGCAAACACAGAAACTCTGAACTCTATGTGATTTGAGGTATGGGACAATAAGAGCAGTACTATGATAATTCTACATCATTCCTTCATACTGACCTTTGTACTGGCAACTGTATCATGTCTGTGTCTGTCATAATGCGCAATAAATAATTATGAACTTCATCTTTCGTTGCTGGCCCACCCATATTCAACATTATTATGCCAGTCTTAGGTTTCTTGACATCTTGAGTGGCCACTTTGGGTGCAAGTACTGACAAAAATCTTGGCCATATTATATTGTGCATTTGCATAAACTGCTTTCCTAAAGAAGACAGTAATACTGTAACATTTTCTTAAGTGAAGTTATGATTTACCTAGAAGCCAATTTTCAATCAATAAATATATAATAAATCTTAAATATGTACATGGAGAGATTAGATATTTGAATATTTACACATCACAAAATATGGAATCACACAAAAAAAAAAGACAGAGACAGAAAAGAAGAATAGGTTTCATTCTCGCTATATACAGATCAGCAAAAAATGTGTGTATACTCGTATGTTCTTAACAGAGGTACACCGATAAATGAATATTTCACAAGTCACATGTTTTACTATGGAGAATCACAACAACTGAGGATGAACAAACTTCTAGTCATTTTTAAATAGAATGTCAAATTACTTACAAAAGAAGCTGGGTAATAATATACAGGGAGGTCATCTGAGATGCTCCCTAAAATCCTTCAGCCACACAGACAAGAGGGACACAGGGTATTCCCATCATCTCACACTGTGTTCAGATTCATGTTGTACTTGATATGCCAAGAAGACAATGCAATACACCCACTTGACAGCAAATGCCAAATAACATCCATCTTTTTATGTAGGCACTCCTTACACCACGATAAAATGTTAATATTCACAAGATGATGTTCCTTCTTGGGAAATAAGAGACAATTTGAAACTTGATGCTCCAGTCTCCTCTGAAAGGCATTCAAGGGACTCTCATGAAGAATACTCAAGCCTACCATTGATTTCATCCAATTTTTCCCTGTTCAACACTTTGATTCAATTGGTTTTGTCTATTAATGGTGGCCCTATCTGTGTAAGTTTATTTACAACCGGAACGTCCTAACATTTATGTTGGAATCTTCTCCTTACTTTTTACATGGTTACTGTACATGAAAATTTGTTTCAACATGCACCTGTCATATGAAATTTTGAGACAGAAAATAATGCGACTGAATGTTTAATATAATATCCTGGCCTTGGATTATACCAAACAGGCATGTAACACATATACTCTTCATTATATGTTCAAAGAATTACTGTGGTGATACTGGACTGAAACTGTAATATGTATCAGCAATTGCTCTGTCAACTATGCAAAGAATGCGAGATAATGCAAGTACCATGTGTGCCTTTCACCCAAGTGGCAGAAGTCTCTTCTGGAGGCTCTCAGACACCTCCTTGTTGCATATAAGTAAATGCATACATCACGTAAGTTCAGTTACACCCTTTCTATGGTAACTATATGTACCATATGACTTAATGTTGAATAATGCAGCTTTTTGCCAACAGAATTTATTTGTAGGATTCATTTTCTTTTCATAATGAACACCAAATTTTCCATAAACAAACAATGAATGTGGTATGTTTCGTAGAAGGTTAGAACCAACTTCTAAAATATTACTTAGGTGAGTTTTACTTTATAAATGACTAGAAGTTGCCATAAAGTCTACCTGAAAAATTTATTTAATCAAAATGTGGGGTACATCCTGGCTGATTTACGAATGTGATGTAATATGTACCTTTTGTGCCTAAACCATCTGTGAGGGCATGCAATCATCAGACAGTAACAAAGATCATGTACAGATCATTATTAGAAAGTTATTAGATTACTTTCAACATACAGTGGGAACCAAAACTGATTTACCAAGATCCCATTGAACAGAAAGGACTTTTTCCCATAGGTTTGAGTTAGTTTTGATATGATAAGGAAGTATGGGGCACGTGGTAGTGTACTTGTTTGAGGTACTATGCTACAAGCCAGAAGGTCACGGGTTCAAGTCCCGATGAGGTCAGTGGATTTTTTTCAATTGACCTAATCAATCCACCCACACTATGGCCCTGGGGTCAACTCAGTCTCCAACAGAAATGAGTACCAGGAATTAATTAAATAATTTTCCTGGGGAGTAAAGCACGGCCGGCGTGTAAGGCTGACAACCTCACCGCCATCTTTGAGCCAACTGTCTAGATAATGTGGGACCCTCAACTCTATGGGCCTTCATGGTCTGTTACAGGGATAGCTTTTTTTTTAATGATAAGGAAGTATATAGATGGTCTTTCTAATAATATAAATTTGATAGGATTTATGGAAGTGAAATAAAGTATGTATGTATGTATGTATGTATGTAAATTCCACCGTCAGTGCAACTATAATTTATTAACTTATTTTCCACTACATGTATTGACCCTCATAGGGTCATCTTCAGGTGTTGTGATTCACTCATTTTCATTATTGAATTGTAAAGAGTGTATACATATTTACATACATAGTCTTAAAATGACTACTTTCAATGTACATTTATATTCTAGCATCCAGATGTTGATTTAAATACAAGATATATAAAGTAAAGTAAAAAAGTAAAGGTATCCCTGTAACAGGCTGTGGAGGCCCATATGGTTGTGAGATGTTGAGGTTCCCACATTTCCTAGACAATCAGTTCACAGATTGAGGTAAGGTTGTCAGCCCTATGCGCTAGCCGCCCTTTACCCCCAAGGATATTCCTGGTACTCATTTCTGTTAGAGGCTGAGTTGACCCCAGGGCCATAGTGCAGTTGGAAGGATTAGGTAAATTGAAAAAAATCCAATGACCTCATCGGGACTTGAACCTGCGACCTTCCGGCTTGTAGCATATGCTTCAACCAACTACACTATCACGTGCCCCCAAATACAAGATATATATGGAACTAAAAGTTGATTTTAAATTCATTTAAAAGTGTCATATGCTGTATTCAGCTTCATGTCTGGTGCTGTATTAGGCCACACATCTTTTCATCTGATTCTTCTATTATTGGTTAGATTCATTTATGGTAACTGTTTCTTAAGCAATTATTTATCTTATTTCTTATTTCCAGGATGTCGATTATTACTGTTGTGTTGTCTAATTTATGTAGTATGTTCTGCTGTGTAGTCTTATATTAAACATCATCTTTATCTTCACTAAATGTGTGATGTTTTGTTTTACATGGCTGACTTGTGTTTTTGGTGATTTAAGTATATTTACTGTTTTATATTGAACTGCTGAGTTGTCATCCATGGTTAGTAAGCTACAGCAAGGGGATATTGATCAAAAAGGGACTGTATTGTACACTGTCTTGTATATTGTTTTGTACATTTCTTAAGAGTTGCTGACATATAGTGTTTGGCTGTTTTCAACTGACTTGTCCAATCATGTCTGTGTAACAGTTACGGATGTTAAATAAATTATCAATTATCAGTTACTTAAGGTATGAGATACAATCTGAGATGTTTTAGGCAATATATATAGACTTCTCCATATTAGATGTGTGTGATTTGATTTCTTATATAGAATACAGAGTAGCAAAACAGAAAGATCACTGGTGAATGTAAACATATGAATAAATAATGAATAAATGAATGAATGAATGAATGAATGAATATCTGTATGAGGCATATGCCTGCAGAAAACTATAAGTTAGAGGATTTTATTTACTGGCTACATTTTTGTTTGACTTCTGAAGGCCTGGTAATGTTCTCCTTTTCATTTTCATTCCATTTCATTTATTGACCTTCCATAAATCCTGTCGAGAGTACATTCTCATGCGGATGTGGAGATTGTGCTAGTTACAGTCACAACTATGAATTACAGTTGTCATCCAATAGCATACACATTTGTAATACAATACTGATAAACATATACAGTGTAATAAAATAGGCTCCTTGGAGCCTCTTCTTGGTAACATGAAGTCATCAGTTCCTTTTATTTTTCTTGAAAAATGATAACCAACAGGCTTGTCTCAAAATTTTAAGTATTGTATTATTTTAATTGCTTTACAGTCATAATTCAAAAAGACTGAATACTTAATCTTATGACAATATTATAATATAATGACACTGCAGAGCCAAAGAATTTGTTCCAGTTCCACTGAACTAAGAATCTAGTCCATTGATTTCAGAGTCAGTGATGCACGTCAAGTTATTAACGGGTCAATGTGGCTTTCATTATTGCTACTTCTTAGTTTGGTTCTCAAAAGAATCATGACATTATGGTAAACTACACGCTGTCTCCAAGTGTAACATCGCTATGAGTCATTAAATTAACTCACTTTTACGGCCATGCTGTTGGAGGTTATCCTTACATCCCTTACATCACATTTTTTTTTTTTAATAGCTTCCTGTATGATGATTCAATCATATTAATGAACCAATGAAACTTAATTCTAAAGCAAAATGCTTCGCTTAGTAACTAATATTTATGACATTATGAATGACACTGTTCTGCTACTGAATGATAAAAAAATCATAAACCATATATTACGCTGTGTCACCCATTGGCGTTGTAGAATACTTTAAAAAGCGGTTATGTCATTGTTTCGTACTGTCGGCGCTTAAATTATGTGGTTTAAATTATTACGCATAGATTCCTGCGTGCAGGACACTTCAGGTTGCGTTAAATGAGACTTACCGATGGATAATACATGAAATCGTGGGCACTTCATGTCTTTTGCTGTGTTTATATTCGGATTTACGTAATTCCTTCGTTAATAAAGTGATTATTACAACTTCGTCGAAATGGGAAATGACATCTAGTCCTAGGAAACCGCCAAGTCTGATCAGCGTTCTGCTAGCTAATGGCGAGATTTTTGTTAACTTTCTGAGCGAGAATTTGAGTAATAGATATCTGTAATACTTCGACGTAGCACAGTCTATTAAACCTTAATACCTGTACGGAACACTCACTCTATGTACTTAAGCGCACTAGATCTGTGGTGAAATGTTCGAAGAACAAGCGACGGAAGAATTAATGCCATCCGAATTGGGCACTAAAGAATAGTAAGTTTTCAATTAAGTTTCCCCTATGGCAATAACCATAATAATAACAATTATGCGACATGACCTAATATAATAAGTTAATATTCTAATCCGTTATCAAGTCTTCTGAGATACAGTACAAATATGAATTGTGATATTGGAAAAAATGAGGTTATGTTGGATAAGAGTGTAGCTAGGGTGAAAATGAGTGATGTCTTCTGGGATATAACGTGACGTAGCCCGTTCAAGGTTTCATTTCATTCTTTTATTAATTCTGAAAATCATGATACAATGATATAGGACAAGTCTTTCAGCTAATATACGTTATTAAATTACAATAATCTTAATACTAAAAAAATATATAAGATATACAGCATTTTATACATTATACACTGAAGTGCCAAAAGTCATGGGATAGGTACCTAGTATCGTGTAGGACCCCTTCTAGCCCGGGGAAGTGCAGCAATTCGACGTGGCATCGATTCCACAAGTGGATGGAAGACCTCTGGAGAGATGTTGAGCCATGCCATCTGGATAGCCGCCCACAGCTCCCTGGTATTTGTAGGTGCAGGATTTTGGGTGCGAATGGACCTCCACGTCCCATAAATGCTCGATTGGGTTCATGTTGGGCGAACGTGGTGGCCACACCATACGTCGGAACTCTCCAGAATGCTCCTCGAACCAATTCTGGACAACTCCGGCCCAATGACACAGTGCATTGTCATGCTGGAATATCCCATTGTTGTGGGGGTACACAAAGTCCATGAAGGGCTGCAAATGGTCACCAAGCAGTGTAACGTAGCAGTCACCAGTCAATGACATGTTTAGGTGGATGAGTAGACCCAACTCATGCCACGTGAACACACCCCACACCAGTGTGGAACCACCACCAGCCTGCATGGTGCCTTGTTGACAGCTGGGGTCCATGGCCTTATGGGGTCTGTGCAACACCCGAACCCTACCATCTGTCCGAAACAACTGGTACTGTGACTCATCGGACCATGCCACATGTTGCCAATCCTCCAGGGTCCAATTAGCAACGTCACAAGACCAGGTGAGGTGCTGTGTCTGGTGTCTTGATGTTAACAGAGGCACTCTGGTCGGTCTTCTGCTCCCATATCCCATGGAAGCTAAAGAACACTGCACTGACCTGCTGGATATGTGTCTGGTACCTCCTGCATTGAATGTGGATGTGATTTCAGCCAGTGTCGCTTGTTTGTTACCACAGACAATTCTAGCTAGATGCCGCTGGTCACAATCATTAAGCACCCGTGGTCGGCCACTGTGCTGCCCACGGTGGGTGGAAATGCCTTCCACAAGGTATTCCTGGTACACACATGACACTGTGGATCGAGGAATGTTGAATGACCACACAACTTTGGAAATGGAATGTCCCATCCACCTGGCACCCACTATCATATCCCGTTCAAACTCTGATAATTCACGTCGGCTTGCCATGAGCAGACTGGCCGGTGTTCATCCTGACTCACGAGAGAACACCTCACAACTGATACTGCTCTGGGTATTCCCAAGCCGTCAAGGGACTGTGACGCCACTTAAAAATAAATTTACATACATACTGCTGTCCCATGACTTTTGGCACTTGAGTGTATACTTCTGCTTATATCAGTAGCCAATATTCGAGAATTCATCGTTCAAATGGTCCTCTGTTGAGTAATAGCACCTCTGAATAAGTAATTTCTTCAATTCCCTTGTGAACTGATTTTTGTTTTCTATTTCTCTTATGATGCTAGGCAATTGCACCTCGATTCACATACTTTTAACTTTTAACAGTTAAATTAGAATAATAATAATTTTAACCTGTGTTTTATAAAAAGAACTCGATATATCAGTGACCGTAAGTCTGGAAAAGATACAAGGTCGAATGAGTGAAAAGTGAATGTGACCGCGTGTAATTATACAGCCGTGTTCATACACCTGAAGATGACCTCTTAAGGTCGAAACATGTAGTGATAATGTGATAATAAAAACGTGTTGTGTAGTCGGTAAATTCACTCTACTGTTACTCAAGAATTTCCCAGCATTTTATGGAACCCAAAGGTTCATTACCATATTCACAAGAGCCCTCCACTGGTTCCTATCCTGAGCCAGATCTATCCAACCCTAATATTGTCCACCCACCTACGCCTTGGTCTTCCCTGTGGTCTCCCTCCTTCTGGCTTTCCCACCAATATCCTATATGCATTCCTCGTCTCCCCCATTCGTGCTACATGACCTGCCCACCTCATCCTCCTTGACTTGGTCATTCTAATTATGCTTGGAGAAGAGTACAAGTTAAGAAGCTCCTCATTATGCAGTTTTTTGCAACCACCTGTCACTTCATCTCTCGTCAGTCCAAATATTCTCCTCAACACCCTGTTCTCAAACACCCTCAGTCTGTGTTCCTCCCTTAATGTCAGAGACCAAGTTTCAGACCCATACAGAACCACAGGCAAAATTATAGTTTTGTATATTCTAATTTTTATGTTTTTGAACAGACGAGACAAAAGGTTCTGGACTGAATGGTAGCAAGCATTACCCGAGTTCAGTCTTCTCTAAATTGTCTCCTGAATCAGGTTGTTATTTCATAGTCAATTCTAATGGTATTAAGTATTATGTATTCACTGGACTGAGCTATCTGATTCAACATATTTTATTTCATTTTATTCTTTTCAGTTACTTTGTTTTAATTATTCTGTATATTATGTACCATTTTTACATGTTCTATATCTTACGTATACTGTGGATCTATGGAACCTTAAATAAATTGAAATAGAAATTGAAATTGAAATATTGTTGCTTGTGATGGATCTTCTGTTTCCAATACCAAACAGCTTAACTTTTGGATTATATTGATGATTACTCATGGAGCTGAGCCCTTCTGGAGGAGCTGCAAATTCTGCAGCTACTCAAGAATTTCCCAGCATTTTATGGAACCCGAAGGTTCATCACCATGTTCACAAGAGCCCTCCACTGGTCCCTATCCTGAGCCAGATCTATCCAATCCATACCATCCCATCCTGTCTCTCTAAGATCCATTCTAATATTGTCCACCCACCTACGCCTTGGTTAGTTAATGAAACCCTGCAGGCTTTAAATAGTAAATCTCCAGTAGGTGGTATTTTTTTATCTTCAAAAGCGTTTGATTGTTTAAACCATGATATATTGATCTCTAAATTACAATTTTATGGTGTTAATGGCAAAGCTAAGTTATGGTTTGAATCATACATTAATAATATATATCAGAGAACTCAGGTTTCTAATGAGGAATCAAATCTAATTAATCTTTCTACATGGAAAAAGATAATTGATGGTGTTCCACAGGTATCAGTTCTGGGCCCTTTGTTGTTCCTTATTTATATTAATGTTTGCCCAGTATTGTAGACGGTAATGCTATACCTATTTTGTTTGCTGATGATACAAGCATATTAGTCAAAGATGCTAGCTTAGGGGACTTTTGAAATAAGATGTCTAACACCTTCACTTGTGTAAATAAATGGTTCAAGACAAATTTACTTTCAATAAATGTTAGCAAAACTCATTGTATTCATTTTAAAACTAAAAATAAATCCTCAATTGATGTAAATATCGTTTATAACAATCAACCAGTAACAGCTGTGTCTAATATTAAGACCCTTGGCATAAATATAAATGATTCATTGAACTGGAGAGGTCTGTATTATCCCAAAACTGAGTTCGGTATGTTCTGTTATGAGGAGTATTAAGTCATATATGTCTTTCAATGTTCTGAAAATTATTTATTATTCATATTTTAATTCTATCATAAGCTATGGCTTAATGTTCTGGAGAAATTCGCCCCACAGTTTAAAAATATTTAGAATGCAAAAAAGAATAGTAAGAATTATGATGGGCTGTAGGAGCAGGGCTTCATGCAGGAATTTCTTTAGGAAGTTGGAAATTTTGCCTCTTGCATCACAATATGTTTTTTCACCCATGTTGTTTGTGGTCAATAACAAGGATCTCTTTAGTTTAAATTCAGAAAAGCATAATACAGGTACAAGACAATCAAATAATTTTTATCTGCCTACAGTAAATTTTACAGTTTATCAAAAAGGGAGTGTACTGTATGGGTATTAGGGTATTTAACAGTCTTCCTCCACATAAAGATATATCTCATAATCCAAGGAAATTTGAAGCCTGTCTAAAACATTTTCTTTATACACATTTTTATCGTTTGATGAATATCTTCAATTTAAGGCTATTGCAAGTCAATGACATACCAAAGAATTTATATATATAGTTTAATAAATTATATTTATTGTCACCAAGTTTTAGACCTATTAGTAATAGAACTTGTTTTGTTTCTGTCATCATTTTATTTTATTCTATTTTTTGGCTTATTTGTCTTTATATATGTACCACTTGACGTGTTTCATATCCTACCTGTTGTACTGTGGATCTATGGAATGTAAAACAAATGAATGAATGAATTACTGAATGACCAATCTGTTGTTATATCTTGTAGCTGGAATGAGGCATATTTGGTTGAGAAGAAAAACTTCATTGAGTATGGAGATGTTGGAGAAGTATGGTTTGGAGAAGACAGCGCTCTCAGGATTGTGAGGTGAAATGATTTGATTGAAATAAGTAATTATTTGGAGTCAGTATAGTGACAGGATGTGGACTGGATGGCCTGGGTTTGATTTCTGACAGGGCAAGATTTTTCTCTTTTGCCCAGCCTCCTATCCAGTGGCTACCAGGAGCAATTTCCCCAAGGGTTAAGCAGTTGGTGTGTGATGCTGACCACTCACCTCCATCTAGTGCCAAGGTCAAGAAGTTCATTTGGTAGGTTTCTTAATAATGTCGGTAACCCCTATAAGAGCACATGATGTCATCATCCAGAACACTAGAATCAAAATGTATTGCATGGATCTGCATCAGTCTGTTGAGGAAAGGTATGAGTAGTGAAGTAAGTTTTGAGGTTCTCACAGTGGTGGTTATAAAGTATTCTGTCTTCTGGGATATAACGCCATGTAGTCCATTGAACGTCAGTTGTTGTTTTGGAGGAACATATCACCTCCATCAAACCAAGCAAGAAACCAGCATGCTTGCTATCTGCTTCACATTAGTTTCTTGCTTGGCCTGTTCTTTGACCCTGAAAGTGAAGGTGACATGTTCCTCTGAAACATTGGCTGACTTTGAATGGACAACATGACATTATATCCCAGAAGACAGAACCCTTCATTGGTCAGGTAGTTTGCCTGTACATATAGTGCTTTAGTGTTCCTCCCTTGATACTGTTTAAAGAGTTGATGAATATGATTTCTTACATATTTATAAGGCACCTCTACTTCTATTTTCTTTATAGATGGCTGTGTTCCAGTGATTTAGTAAAGCAAGATGACAGTATTATTGATTTGGGTTGTGGAAATGGAATGCTGTTGGTGGAATTGGTAATGATAGTTCATAAAATGCTGACATATGAACTGAAGTGATTATTATATGTCTGTTCAAACTTAGTCACAATTTTCAAAATGAATATATGATTCCTTTTTTAGGCTCGTGAAGGTTTCATTAACCTTACTGGAGTAGACTATTCACAAAATGCTATTGATTTAGCTGAGTCAATAATGAAAATGCAAAACCTGACAATCAGATATGAGGTGCGTGACATTCTGAGTATAGATGACACCGTAATGTCGAGAGAATATGCTGTTGCTCTTGATAAAGGAACTTATGATGCTGTAAGCCTTCATCCAGAAGATTCCAAAGAGAAGAGAGAAAAATACATATTAAATGTATGGAAATTGTTAAAGCCACAAGGCTTGTTAGTCATAACTTCGTGCAACTGGACTGAGAAAGAGCTAATCCTACACTTCAGTACAAGTGAGTTTTTTCCTCTCATTGACACTATTTAATTCATAGTTGTGAGTTCCATGGATTTTCTGAAGGTATGGTTAAAACACAATACAATATTGGAAGAAAAGTTCAGATAGCATCCAGAGAACTTGTAACTTAAAGATGAAGGTGATGTAGATTCATCTGAAATGTCATAATTTTGTTCCAGCACCAAATACAAGAAACTCATTTGTCATAAAAGAAATATTTTCCTTAGATATAAGATATTTAATTGCCATGGTCCCTTCTTGGATTGTGTCTCAAAGATCATCAGGTACAGAAGAAACCTGCAAATATACTGATGAAGTGTTCTTGGACAGCTGTAATTTTGGACTTACAGTTAATAGCCCTTCAGTATATCAAAGTTTAGTTTTGTAAATGTAATTAAGAAGGAGAGGACTGGACATTCTGGTATAGCTCAGGACATGTTGTAAGGATATGGAGATTGGTATTTACAATGTGTGCAGCTTGCATTAGGTGTTTCAGTCATTGATTGCAGTGGTAACAGTATGAATAGAGACAGACTGCCTGATGAAGACAGTGTTGGAAAGGAATGCTATTTGTTATTCTGCAGAAAAATAAGGTATTATAGTTATTGCAGTTATCAAAACTTTAATGGTACTTGGTCAGAATAGCAGGTGTCCTTGACTGTAGCACTCAGGGGAGCAGACAAATTTTATCTCACTTCACACAGCATTTAGGTAATGAATCAAGAATTGATGCTGAAGCTGAGGGCAGCACTAGGAGATACGAACTGAGGTTACAGAATTCGATGGTACTGGTCATGACTCCAGACTTGTGGAAAAGTATACAGAAGATTGTTCCAATTTCTTGTGGTCACACAAATTCCACTGTGCATCAGAACTGAAATCTTTAATTTTAGATGATATGTCAGTCAGTTTAAGGTTCCACTAGAAAGTAGGTGCTATATTAACTTTAATATTACAGAAAGTACTTATTGTACAAATTTACAGAGCTGTGTGATCACATCCCCCTTCCTTAGAACCCTATAAAGCACCTGTGTTTTCTGAAGCCCTCTCAAATGTCCTTCACTGCTGTACTTACACACACACACACACACACACACACACACACACACACACNACTTTTTTTAAGTTCTTGGAACTTCAAAATGGCTCTTCATTCAAACACCAATGCATAATGGGTGTCTGAAAGAATCCATTTTGAAAGAGTATGTGAAAATTCCATGGCTTGGGCATTTACCACCATTGAAAAGAAAATCTACAGACTTGACAGTCTTGCTGCATACTTGTTAATACAAAGTTGTTACATAGTGTGCAAATCACCCATATGAACTCATCAACCAAATTGACTGCTGTTACATTTGTAGTACAAAGAGTAAATCCCACTTAGCTCTAGAAAGGAATGGTTCACAAGAACTCTATACAGTAAAACCCTCATGTAAAATTTCTTAAGGGAGCAGATGATCTGAACACCAACTGGAGAAAGCCTGAAATAGAGGAAATTTAACACTCTGGCTATTGACTTGAGTTCAGAACAGAATTTATTTATATTCCACATCATAATTACCAATAATAGTATAATACATAGTTCATGCAGATATTTACGGACATTTTATAACAGTATTATATTACACAGAGCAAAATAATTATGACAGATGTTCACTGAAATTGAATGTTAAATGAGGGAAACTGAGGAACACTAAATGCAGGTTCCACAGAATATCCAGAACAGAACTTGACTAAATAACCAAAATAAGGAAAGCCTTTGGAGAAATGGACAGTTAGAGTGATCTGCAATAAGTTTTCATATTCAAACAGATCAAAAAAGTGACATAATTAAAGAAGTGTTTTTATGAGGCATTAGAATTTGTATCCTGTAATTTTTATAGATAGCTTTTCCTCAGTGGGGAACAAGAGTTTACATGTAAATGAGAATGGAATTAGGTTTCTCATATCTGAAAATATTACTGTTAAAATCACATTATGTGCTTAAACTCAACTTGTATTTATTCTAATGGGATGATGCATGATCTGAATAATGAGATTTTAATTGATGGAAGAAGAGACATCAGGATCAGTGTTCTAGGAGGTACCAACTGTGATCTGAATCACTGTATAATGACTGAAATATGCAAGAATGGGCATGTTTAGTCTTTGGGTGACATTAGAGAGGTGTGTTTCATTTACACACGACATCTGTCTTCTGTTAGGTATTGCAGTTAATTAAACTGGCACATGGTGATGTTCCTATAATAGAAATGTCATATACTGACATTTATCAGAATTTCTCAAAGATGTTAAAAAGTATGTGTATTAAGTTCACATGAGCTCATAAAATGAACTAAAACAAATCACATTTACACATGTTAATTCTCATATAACAAAAGTGTTGTATTAAAGTTTCATCAAAGTGTCATAGGATTCAGAACATGTAAAAATGCATTTAGGCCCATAAATAATATGGTCCTTTAATATAAATACTGTATGCCATCAGATTTTGTTAAATAATTCAAAATTTAGGCCTATAAGTAAAGTGGTTTTTAAAATGAATTAATATGAATGAAACATATAACAAAATAATGTTCATTAAAATTGGCCAAAAGACTAAAAACGTGGTTAATAATTCTCTCGATGTAAAAGTCACATTATAAAATACCATTGTGTCGGTTATGGTAAACAGTCTCACTGTCTTTATCTTTATACTTTCAGAATTTTGTCTTCTCAGTGTAATTCCAACCCCAACATTCCAATTTGGTGGAAAAACAGGCAATGTAATCTCGTCTCTTGTGCTGCAAAAGAAATAATAGTCGTGGAAGTGAGTTGCATTACATAATTTTGTTAAGATAAATGTACAATAAAATCTGTTTGAAATGCAACTTGCCATACTGATACATTTCCTTTGTTCCAAGACTGTGGAGTGAATATCAATATAAAATTACCTCTAATAAGCAAAAAATGTTAAGTGAAGTGCATTTGGGTAAGTACTGAAATACTGCAATATAGGGGACAGTGCTTCTGGTTCTGATATCTGTTGAGGGACTAACAATCATGACAGGTATTTTGGGTTGCTTTGGGCTCTGGCAGAATGCTAAGATTGTGCTTTAATATGGCGCAAGACAGTGATAAGGTAAGTTATACATGTTTTGATATAGACTAAAATTTTCATACCATCAAAAGCCATTTGTAGTTCCATTACTGAAAGCCAGCCACACAATATTAGTGGTCTCTCCAAAGTCCATTAAAATTAGAAGTAATGAATAAAATATAATATTATATGGAATATAATATTGTAAGAGGGGGGCGCGGTACCGTAGTGGTTGAGGCACTATGCTGCAAGCCGGAAGGTCGTGGGTTCAAGTCCTGATGAGGTCATTGGATTTTTTCAATTGACCTAATCCTTCCAGCCACATTATGGCCCCGGGGTCAACTCAGCCTCTAACAGAAATGAGTACCAGGAATTAATTAAATAATTTTCCTGGGGAGTAAGGCTGACAACCTTACCTCCATCTTTGAGCCGATTATCTAGATAATTTGGGACCCTCAGTGTCTCACAACCCTATGGGCCTTCACGGCCTGTTACAGGGATAGCTTTACTTTTTTTACTTACTTTATAGTATAGTAAGAAGAAAATAAAAATAAGCTGTACATTATGAACTTTCTTAGGTCATTGTTAGGAGTATTTTTATACAATCAAATAGACTGAAGTCTGCTGCAAACTGAGAATATGGCGGTAATAAAGAAATGTCAGTTAAATTTGACACAGTATGAAAATAGAATGCAGGATAATAAGTGCCAAAATGAGCATACATCTGTAATCTCAAAGGACAAAGATATGTGAGAAGGTCAGTTTTAAAACTCTTGAATATTTCAATGGGCTTGTAGCATCCAATCCTTAAATTATAAGAAGATATAAGATATGTTATTATAATGTTAGTATAATAGATTACATAGACTCACAATTTATTTTCAAGCCCACAGATGCTTATATTTCCTTTGACTATTATCAAAAATTATGCTGAATATAACATATATACTTTCAAAACATTGTACTTGTATTAATTGAGTAGCTTTCTAAAAATGAATTATTTGTTACTTGTGGATTACAGACTTTTTTTCTTGACACTCTCAAATAATGAATTTAAAACCTTGTTAAAAGCTCAAGTATTTAATTATTTTTACAATTTTCATCTATATCATACCTGGGGGGGGGGGGCTGCATGCAGTAGCGTACTTGGTTGAGGCACTGTGCTACAAGCTGGAAGTTTACAGGTTCATTTCCCAATGAGGTCATTGGATTTTCCAACTCCTTCCAGCCATACTATGGCCATGGTGTAAATTAAGCCGTTAATCGAAATGAGTAGTAGGATTCTTCCTGGGGATAAAGGGTGGCTGATGCGTAAGGCTGAGAACTTCACTGCCATCTCTGAGCCAGTTGTCCAGAAAATGTGGAACCCTCAACGTTTCACAACACTCTGGGCCTCCATGGGCTGTTACGGGAATAGCTTTACCTTTTTATCATACCCAAGGTGTTCATGAGCCAATCTTGGAATATAACATTTAAATCCAGATAAATGTGACATGTGATGTACTGAGCTTTGACTGAAATCTTGTTCTACTTCTGTTTTTCTTGTTGACTTGCATGGGCTTTGAACAACAGCCTAAACTTATTTTCTTCAGTTGTCCCACTGTCAGGCCTTCCAGTCCCGGGTGCATTGAGTGTGTGACAGAAAATGTTCAAGCTAGTGTTGCACAATTTCCTAGCATTCTTTGTTTCATACCATGATTTTAAAATTGGTCTTCATGCGTATTGCATCCCGTATATGCTTTGACAACACATGGAGCAAGACACAGGGCAAGTACATCATTATAACGAAAACTCTGTGATTTCAGTCTGCAAGCGAACTGTACCGACCGAGCAACCGCCGCTTGTCGGCGAAGTTTAGTGCCAACTTTTTGCTGATAGAGGGTGTCGCGTGGTCGGCGCAACGAATCCCCATGTCCATTAATTTCGGTTTTCTAGACCGGAGCCGCTATTTCCTTGAAATAGCTCAATTATAATCATGAGGCTGAGCGGACACCGTTCCAGACCCACTACTTCTGAGAAGAAAATCTGTTAGTGAACGAACCCGGACCTCTGGATCTGTAGCCAGGAACGCTGACCACTAGACCACAGAGGCGGTCAAAATACATCATTATAAAGGGGAGGGGGGGGAACTCTACATGGGCAAGCTGTATAAAGGAAGGCAGGGCAAGCAACCATACAGTGAATTAAGCATCTCCAATTTCATGCACAGTAATTTATGGATCTATGGCTTAGACATATGTTTAAGAATATTTTACCATCACTGACTATTCAAGATATGAGAATACAATTTTACAAGAACAGTTTTAAGTTTATTGCTAATATTTGGTATATTTCCTTAATTTTAAATAAATTTTCACAAAGTCAATAGAAAGTCCGTCGAGTGTAACAATTTTGTAGGTCACTTCTTTATCACTTCTGCCTTACATGTTTCGGTTTAATAAAACCATCATCCACGCAGCAAATATACTGTGTACATTTTAAACAACGACAGTGTTTTCATGATTGTACTATGTGCCTCTGATGATGGTTTTATTAAACCGAAACATGTAAGGCAGAAGTGATAAAGAAGTGACCTACAAAATTGTTACACTCGACGGACTTTCTATTGACTTTGTGATTGATAGTGTAACGGACCAAAAATGAAACAATTCTTAATTTTCTTTTCTTTTTTTTCCCAGAAATCAGAGGGCCTATTTCCCCTTGTCCCACCTGCACCATGATGGTTACCACTACTTTACAGTGATATAATAAACAGCTGGCTGTTATCTGAATGAAATGAGACAGTAAATCAGCTGGTCTGATTATGATTGCTTGTAATGTGTGTTTTCTAGGTCAGTGGTAACAAAACTTCAATAAGGAGTTGCTTATTCAGATGCCTTATATCTAAGCAGTCTTGAGTGGCTGTGCAATTAGTGGCTTCTCAAGAAGGGCTCAGCTCCGTGAAGTTAGTTTAATTAGTTATATCTGAGCAGAATAAGTGAGATCATTGTACACTACACTTACTGTGTGTAAGACACTGCAGCATTGCTACAAATTGTTGTACCCTTTTACTGGAAAAAAGTGACCTTAGCATAAGAGAAACTTTATACGGAATAAAAGGCAATGCGAAGTACACTGATCCAGGACAGAGGGGTTTACCAGAAACATGTGAGATTTGAAATTTGCTAAGTGGTGAGTATAAAGAGTACTATATCCTGGGATGTAATGCCATATTTGTTTAGTCTGGTAGATATTTACTGATGTTGCAGAGGACAAACTGCCATCATTTTCAGGATTTAAAAGTAAAAATCTGCTTTCTGCTTGCTTGCTTGCATACTCTTCAACTTGAAGATGGAGGCAGTACATTTCTCCAAACACTTGTAAACATCTACCAAGCCACACTACATACATTCCAGAAGATAGCATTCTTCATCATAAGCAAAACACTCGCAAGCTGACAAAACCTGGCCTGTCCAAAATGACTGATGACTTGCCTCAATTATTCACTATGATGTTCTTCTGCTGTCATGTCCAAGGGTGTGCTGGCAACTTCTTAACATGAAAGTCACACCAGTAAGCAGTTATTTTCGTTTTTTCTGAAATAATTTTAAATAAAATAAAACAATTATATGTAGTACATATTATAAATATGCATATACGTATAATTATACATAATGCACATGGTTTATACTACACTATGAATGTTTGCTACAAAGGTTGCATATTGCTTGGCTTATTAGCAAAAAATTCACAAGGAGCTCATGCAAGTCCCCCGCAACACATACATGATCCCTTCTTGTGGCAAAACTAAGATGCCTTCTTTGTGAGATTCTGTCCAATATCTGAAACTCTGCACACGTCTTTAAAATACAGACATCCAATACAAACTCCATTAGGTGAATAATTTTTCCAAAATAATTTAAACGTGTTAATTGGGGTGAGTAATCACCTCAGTGAAACCACTTAGAATGACTTTCTGTGGTTCATATTCTTTTCAAGTGCTCAGAAAAGTTTTACTCCTACATATGCCAGTGCAGTAGCTGTATGTTCTGTAATCCCACTAGAGACTCCGGTGATTCACACTACTCTGCCTAGCATCCTATGAATATAAAATACTTTATGAAAGGCCAAAAAATTCTGTTATACAGGACAAGCCATTATGGGCGTTGATAATCGGGCTTCCTGCAGAAGGCTGTTTGGCGAGTTAGAAATTTTAACTGTTACTTCTTTGTATATACTGGAGATTTTGTGTTTTATCATAAAAAATAGAATCTATACAACTCTGAACTCTGATGTGCATAATTGCAATACAAAGCATAAACATAATCTGTATGCCCAACATTGTAATACAAATCGTTGTAAGAGAAGTGTGATAAACATGGGCATAAAACTATACAATAATCTTCCTATGGAGTTAAAGAATGTATCTGATTTTAAAGTGTTTAGGAGGAAATTGAAGTGTTATTTGTTGCATAATGCCTTCTACTCTCTTCAGGAGTTTTTTTATATGTAAGATGTTGAATTAAATGACTGTAATTGTCTGTTAATGCATGTGCTGGTGGTTTTTTTATATAATTTATTTAAGTATTTATGTATTCTTTGATTATGTTAGGTGTGATTGTTATTAAATCTATATATTCTCTTTGACTTTATCCGATTGTATATTTTACAGTTATGGATGTAAATAAAAGAAATTAAGATATTCATTTGTTTCACAGTAGGGTCCAGTGGCAGGCTCATATTAAATTTGTAATGAACCTCAGAGTTCCATAAAAAGGCAAGGACTCTCTTGACAAACTGAATAGCAGTCAACTTCTGAAGAAGGACTGTGACTGAATGATGCTTCCATGTGGGTTGCACTCTTGCTTACTAACTCTAAGGTCCCAGTTTAAAATCTGTATAGAGACAGGCTTTCCTGTCTGAGTGCTTTCATAGCTTTCCTTTGTCCCTGTAGGCAAATGCTTGAATAGTACCTCGAATTAGACAAGGGTCACTTCTGTCAACAGTATCTTTAATCCATAACACACTAATCACCCTAAATCTGGATGTTACATCTGATGTTATCATATCCTGATGATACAGGCAGAGAACATCTTTGGAAACTGTGATTTTGAATCAGAATGGACACAGCTATAACTGTTATTTTATGTTACTTACATAATTAACCATATTTAATACTTGTGTGTGTGTGTGTGTGTGTGTGTGTGAGATAGAGAGAGAGAGAAAAAAAGACATATCCTACATCACTTGTGAATTGATGTACAGTAATAATAAATGTTGATAATGATGATGACTTCATAAAATTTCCTTGAGTTCTTCTCCTTAACCTTTGCATTGGTACCAGAATATCATTCAGTGACTGCATGTATTGCAGTGTTCCTTACCTGCTACTGTAGCATGGCTCAGTACTTGTGGAGTCAGACTCATTTTCATGGCATTCCCTCCACCATGGTTGGGTAGGGAGTCTTGAGCTTATAAATTGGCAGAACAGGTTGGGTCTTTTGTGACTGTGCTCCCATCTAGCTGTGATGGCCAGCTGATTTTCAAGACTTCATTTGTCAACTGCACATATTTCAGGAACAGGTTCTGGCTACAAAACTTGCCCAGATGGAAAGGGAAGTAATTTCAGAAGAAGGTTATAGGATTTTCAGATACATTTAAGGAGATTCAGTGACAATGTTTTGTTTTCAAATTACCACCGCTTGTCGTTAGGTTTCCCTCCAGTGCTCATAATAATTCCTGGTGATAATCTGATTACTTCTACAGTGAAGAAGATTAAATATTCTGAACTCTGGATCACTGCCTACATCTCGAGACCTTTTTCAACTTTTTGCCTTGTAGTCTTCTCTTTACAAAGTGCACTCTCCTTGCTGTGAATACTATTATGAAGTGTTTTTTTTTTTTGTGGAGGAGCGTCAGTTCATAAATCAGTCAAATTAAATCTTTTAGAAGGGTGCGTCTTGCTCTAGGCTTTGAAGAAGAATAGATGATTGCTATATCTGAGTTCCCCATGGATGTATTTAAATCACAGAGCTTAGAGAAGAGGATGTTTTTTTCACTGCAACATATTGAGTGCTGTTGGTGATGGGTTAATTGCAGATATTTTTGAGGAAGTGGTAAAAAGTACGTATTTCAGTAGACAAGGAAGACATGAGATAGTCAGTTACTTGTACAATTCAGGATCTCATATTGACAATTCAAGGAGAATAAACCATGACTGGTTAGTTCCATATATTGAACACATTGCTTAAAATGGAAGCCACCTTAAGACCATTTAAAAAATCCAGATCTCTTTTTTGCAAGTTACTGAAAAATCAAATGCATCATATTTTCCATTACATTATGTATAATTCAAGATGAACATACCTGTAACTAAGAATATCTTGAATTTTAATCAGAAGAACTGTTCCTGTATCAAATGTTTCTTCGGTGCTTTATTAGAAAGTATGTGTAGATACAGAAATGCACATTATTTCTAATTTATAAGTACAAGACCAAGTGTACTGTGCTGTATTTATTTAGTATCGTGAGAAACTGTTTACATTTTTTGTACAAATAATATAGTATTTTCATCACATAATTTTAATCTTTAATAGCACTTACAATGTCCATGACAATACATGTGCACATTAGTTCAGAACTGTCACTTTCATATTCCGACCAAATCACATTTTAGCCGTTTAACTTTATAATTCTATTGTTTATTAAGAAATGAATGAATAGCGACAAATATGGACATTTAATGATGTGAAACATAACTTTAGTTATTTTTACTCATAGGCTTATATGAAAGTATAATCAAATGTGTACGTAAACATTACCCCCCCCCCCACAATAAATGTGATATGTTTACTTGAAAGGTATAATGAACTTAACTTCAAAGCCTAACAAATGAAATTTTTTAAGTTTGGAAAATATGATCCAAGAATTCATAATTTAGTCTAGTTGTGGTGTTTCAACTGTGTTTGAAATGATACAAAAAAATAGTGCTCAAATAAACTGTTAGAACTGCTTAATAGTGTGTAGTGCCAGTAATTACTACAGTGTGGAACGTTAATAATTCCTGTCATTTTATATATTGCAACTGCAGTTACAAGTATATATGCAAGACAACTTTCGCATCATACTTAATAACTTTTGATGTCATTATAATGTTATGTGCACTTGTTTTGTAAATTTTGAAATTAGGTCATGTTGGTGATATTGCAATAAACACAAGAGTTTCAGATTGAAATTAAAATTAATGTAAAAAATTAAATCCTTGATTTTTATGACTATAAAAATTACATTTTTAACGCAATTTAAACCAGGAAACCATTTGAAGCAGTAAGAGACATGTGTTTCTGAATTTGTTAGTTAAAATGTTGAATTCAAATACTAAATCAGAGATTTAAAAATTTGATATTGGCATTTAATGACACTAAATACAACACACATTCTCTCTATTCACATTAGCTGCAAATATTGCAAAAATAACTGTGTACAGTTTATGATTATGCACAGAAATTGAGCTGAACCAGACACATAGAACATAGCTGTTTACCAACCATTAAACAACTATACATTGTTTAAAATTAAATAAATTGTCTTTATATAAAATATTTATGTTCTAGGAAAGCACATTGGGGAATTTCCCTTTTGCTCATTATATAGAGATTTGAGTTTTATTTATACATTCTTCATAAGATTAGAACAAGTGGAATTGCTCTTTCATTGATCAGTCTTTAAAAGATATTCTACAGGAATGTCAGCATAACTTAGTAAGTTCAAATATTTTGTAAAACAATATTTTGAATCGCAATGAAAACTAATACCTAGGAATGTGAAACAGTTTTCCAAGAAATTACAAAGAAATGCACACAGATTTTTCGTACGTGTGTTTAAGAGATTTGAATGTTAAGTAAGTGGGTAATGAATGAAGCCCGCTGTCAATTGAATTTGTTACAGATCAACCCTGGCCACAACACTGCACATTATCTTTGGATAATACTGAAGCAACAAAATAAATTCATTAATTTCACTTTATGCACAACTAAGTGCTGTAAAATTGGTCTCCAATTGCTGCATTTGGGATCATTTAACCCATTTTGCTTGAATACTGTAAAGTAGTCCCTGTGCTTAATTAAGTACCACACCATGAAAGCATATGTGAGGAATGGAGGTTCAGATCCATGTATTCTTATCCTCATCACTAGATGGGAGTGGTCAGCTTCAAGCCCCACCCACTTTATATCAGGGGAATACCTCCCAGTACCTCTTGGATAAGGGGCAGGGCTGCAGAAACCCAGAGCCGGTATGAGTGTGGTGGTTAATTGGAAAACCTTTGGCCTTCTTGAGGATTCTGTGAAGGTTATCCCCACGTATGGCCAGTCATTATATTGACTGGGATACTGGGCTTCATCATAATGCAATTAAAATGTTCCCAGCAACAGTTTCTATTAAGTTTTGATTGATTGATTGAGTGATGAGGTGTCATAAAAACTAAAGTACCTGAAATATTAATGTAAATGTGGTCTGACATCAGCAGTTTGTGAGTCACAATTAAATTCTACCTTGAAATGTGTATAAAGGTATAAGCAGATATCCAAATATTTAGAAATATGTTGTTTGACATTTCTATTATATTTTGGATTTCATTCTTCAGTTGAGGGTGGGAGACTACTTAAGGAGTTTTATAAGATGTCATGCTTGATAGAAGGTGCAACTGCACTCTATTTTAAGCCACTATTCAAGTGTATCTTGTAATGCTAAAAAACGGTTATAAACCAACCATCATGTGTGGTAAGTCTTTAGAAAGACTAAATTTTAATGTTAAGTAAAATATTATTGACATGCTGATACTGCATGTCTGAAATCCACCAATTACCATGAAAGATGTAAGAATTGTTCATCAGTGATTTATTTCTGCATTTTACAATATCTTTATTTTATTTCTAACACATTTGGATGTACATATGGCATCCTTACCACCAAATGATTTTTATTTCCAACCCAAATTTCCCCTTCCCTCGTTGTTGGTTTTGTACTTAAGCTGTAACATTATGAATAACCCTTAAGGTAATATTTAAAACTGATCAACCTACAATCCACGTATCATTGTCCTTATATCTATTTAAATCATTGATACCAATATTTGTTTATCATCCAGTCTCTAATTAAATCTTTTTTACAAAACTATGAAATTATCTCAGTTGTGTGTGACAGCATTAAATAGATATAAGTAAGAAACCTTTAGAATCTCTTCCAAAGCAGCTCTTTGATTCGGACTAAACAATAGTCACAAAGTTAAGTGGGACTAAAATATGTCCATTGTGATCTGAAATCTTTCAGAACTTGTAGAGATTACTTCACTTCAAAAACTTCTAATTCCAAACCAAAGAATTTATATATGTATAATATTAAAATAATTTATGCAATAATACTGAGTACATCATTTCATATTGGAACAACTTCTACAGCAGGTAAAAGGACGTGATAGATTGTTGTAATAATCTGTGTGTCACTGTATGTTTAAAATGGAAAACAACCGCTTACACATACTTAAAATGAAAGTTTTTGCTCTTCCACATGATTGAAATCATGAAATCTGTATGAAATATGTGTGTGAAGTGTTGCCAGGATTAAAAAAGGAAGAATGCCTCTACACCTTTCAATTTAGAAATTAAGCACTGGATGTAGGATGCCCGATTATGGCAATTCTGATCTGCCATACTTGCCTCCAGTCATCTACAAGTGCTCTTCTTTGGAACGGTTGCAGAGTATTCTCCTACTCATGGCATGTGAACATCCCATTTTAACAAATGATAGATATGTTCTCTTTAGATGTATTATTTATCATCATATATTGAAGCTAAGAGTAATTCCATGTCAAACACCTAATCACAAATTTATGAAACAGAAGACGTTTCTATAAAACAATGATATGTGCATAAGCTGTTTATGAATCTCCACGTTTTCAGATATTTCTTCACTGAACCAAACTGCAAAACTTAACGCATTAATTGAAGAACTGGATAGAATATCAGAAGGAAGACGAACCCAATGCATGGAACGGTTGTGAAGACAGTACCTGAAAGAAGACTTTTATTGATTTATTGCTACAAGATATCATGGATCACAAAATAATTTAGATGGACATCTTTTAATTAAAGCTAGCTTAATATTGATCAGCATGAGCTGAGATGCAAAACAACACTTGCAATACGTTGACTATGAGCCAACTTCTATACTACTCACCCACACCCAAATAAAGAGATCTTTGCATCATATTAAATGAAAACCATATTGATACTATTCTAAGGCATGCCTCTCAGAACATCTTATTAGCAATTAATTCCTAGGAATAACTTGTGATGCTAATTTAAGTGAAAAAAACTGAAATTAATATAATACAATCTAGTAATTTGCTTATATGCGTGATTTATGATTGCATATATTTCTCCAGAAAATATCTGGATGTAGCCCGAAACTACAAGTGTTAGATAAAATGTAGTAGCAACACTGCTGTAGCATGAAAGATGTGTGTCAGGTGGCCCTAGCACCATCTGTAGCTGATAGCAGAAGTTCAGTTGAAGTAGTGCTCTTGTTGTGTTTCTTTGATTTGCATTGTGCGTCATCTTGAAGTGCAGGAGCCCAGTTCAAGCACCGTAACAACATGTTTACGAAACAACAATGCTCCTGGATAAGAATTGAAGTTGCATGAGGTCGTAGTGCACAAAATTGTTATCAGGGACTGCGAGAAGCATGTGGTGATGCTGCTTTGCCATATCGCACAGTGGCACGATGGGTGAAATTGTTCTGTGAAGGGAGGGATGCCATTTAGGACAGCTGTCGTTCAGGATGACCCCATGTTGACAACCGCACAATTCAGCTTCTTGCTTCTTTGCTGGTTGTTGATCGTCGATGGGCTGCACGGGAGTTAGCTGCTGAGGTAGGCGTATGTCACAAAATTGTGCTCCACATTCTGCACGATATTCTTGGATACCGCAAAATTGCAGCGCGTTGGGTACCCCATACAATGTCCTAGATGCAACAATGGCAACGTTATGCAATTGCACAGGACTTGTTGGACCGGTACCAGAGGGAAGGTGACGGCTTCCTCGGAAGGATCGTCACTCTGGACGAAACTTGGGCTCGCTCATACAAACCGCACTTGAAGCGACAATCAAATGAATGGAAGCATCCTTGCTCTCCTCGTTCAAAGAAAGTGCGCCCTACACAGAGTAATGTGAAGGCGATGTTCATTGTGGCATATGACATTGATGGAGTGATACTGCACCACACTGTACCTCAACGACAGACAGTAAACGCTACTTACTACTGCAATTTCCTACGTACTCATCTTCGTCCAGCACTCAGGAGAAAGTGACGACACTTGTTGGCAATGCACAAGGGCTCATACTGCTGACGCTGTCAAGAATCTCCTTCGCGGCTGGCGATGGGAGATACTGCAACATCTGCCATACTCACCCGATATGAGTCCGTGCAATTATGATCTCTTTGCCAAAATGAAAGAACCACTACGAAGGACACGTTACAACACAAGAGAGGAGATTATTCCTGCTGTAGGGCGGTCACTGTTGGACATCAACAGAAGTGGACGCGCTGATGGTGTACGACGCCTTCCACAAATTTGGCAGAAGGTGGTACACATGGGGGGCGATTATATTGAAGGAATGTAAGTGTGTTTACCTCAGGTAATGAAGTCGTTTCAGAACTATAGAGGTGTTGCCACTACTTTCTATCCGACCTACACAGTGTGTCCAGGTTCTGTTAGGACTGTGTTCATTAAAAATACAAGACGTGAATTATTTTCAAAATGTCTCTCTTTTTATTCAAAATAGTCTCCTTCTGAATCAATACATAGATGGAATCGATTGAAAAGTTTTCGAAAACAGTCACTGTACTACTTTTATGGAATCGAATTTAAAACTGCGGCATATTCCCTTTGGATGTCCTGGAATGTGTGACGGTCTCCTTTCGTCGCCAACTTAACTTTTGGGAACAACCAGAACTCTGCTGGAGCAAAATCTGGCGAATACGGAAGATGACCAAGGACTGTGATCCCTTTTCTGGCCAAAAAATCGCGCACGATCTTCGATTTGTGGGGTGGGGCACTGTCGTGGAGGAGTGACCAGGAACCTTGCTCTCGATGTTCAGGTCGAGTTCGAAGAATTCTCGCCCACAAACGATTCAGGACTCCGAGATAATAATCAGAATTCAATGTCTGACCTTCTGGCAGAAATTCCTTGTGAATGATTCCTGTGGAATCGAAGAAAACGGTTAGCAGTGTCTTTACTCGACTCTTTTGCATGCGCACTTTCTTTGGTTTCGGCTTCTTTGGGCTCAACCACGCTGCACTCTCCCGCTTTGTGAGAGGCTGATATTGAAAACACCATGTCTCATCACTAGTAATAATCGATTTTGTAAATTCTGTATCACTTTGGGCCGACCGTAGCATGTCTTTGCAGTGTTCCACTCTGGCATGTTTTTCATCGGATGACAGCGCGTGCGGTACAAACCGCGCACAGACCTTCCGTTTGCCCAAATCCTCGGTCAAAATTTGATGCACAGTACTTTTTGGTATTCCCTGAAGCTCCTCGATGAGTCTTGCAGAAACACATATGTCTCGTGCAAGGATTTCGGTCACTTTTTCCGCACTTTCTTCAGTGCGACTTTTTTCTCGGCTTTGATGCACGTGGAGCGTCTTCAGTGTCGTCCCTGTCGTCACGAAATACAGCGTACCATCGAAAAATGTTCGAGCGACTCAAACAATCACTACCGTACACACATTTAATCATTTCGTACGCTTCTCCGGCTGTTTTGCCTAACTTCAAACAAAATTTTATGTTGGCTCTCCGTTGAACCGCCATTTTCCGACGAACGTCAGAACATTACTGTTACATTCAAAGTCGGAAAAAATGATGCAGTGATGCTTGCGCTTTGAAATTATAGACAGCCACACTTGAAAGTTCAAGAATGTTAACGCCACAACTCGCCAACAGATGGTATTGCAGTGAAGAATTAGAAAAAAAATAGCCCTAACGGATCCTGGACACACCGTGTGGTTATTTGCAACTCTTGGTATGTTTATGATCTGTCTGAATATAAAATTTCATATGTCTAGTTACAGTATTGTTGCTGTTAAATACAAATGTATGTTCCGAATTCACAGTCCATCAACATATTCTCGCACACTGTTATGTGGTTTTAATGTGACAGGTATTTCAGGAATGTTTTCTGTTTCTCTTGTACAGGGAGGACTTTTAGTGTGTGTCTTGTACCAAATTAACACTTCAGAATCTGGTAGGCATAACCATCTTTCAGTGTGAGCCAGGAGGCAGTGACATTGATCATCATGTTGTCGTTTGATAGGCACTGGATTCTGTTTTCAAGATACAATGAGAACTAAAATCACTCTACCCTAGGTCTTCTTACACACAGGACGTTTCATCTGTTAGATTGGCTGCTGAAGGTAAGACATACCCTGAGGGATGTTTTAGAAAAGTGTTAGCAAAGTTTTGTTGGAGCCGATTGCTCTCAAATCCAGGAGATGAGAATTTTCCCAACGCTATTGATGTTGATCAACACCATATGATGTCACAACCCAAAAGGCCACAGTCCAGATCTTTATAACATCCTTATATTGTGTCTCCACCTGCTGGAAGATGTTCATTCATTTATTCATTTCCTTTATTTTCTATATATCCATACAGGCAAAAAACCTAGGATGTGAAATAGTCCCTTTGATAATACTCGTAGTTGTGTCCAGATACATATAAAAAATTACAGGAGTTATATAATTAAAATCACATACATTAGTCAATTAACATAGATAATAAAATGAAAAATAAAAAACTTAATAAAATTTTAATTAATAAACATAATTGAAAAAGAACATTACTATAAAACTTAAAATTAATACAATTTCATCTCATCTCAACAGCATGGTGTTGGCAATACCTACCGCTGCATTCATGGTCTTCTTCTACGAAACCTTCTTTGCAGAGACACGTTTTGGGTATATTGGAACTGGTGGAGCTGTTGGTCGGAGCCTTACATGCTGCACCTGATATGCAGTCGTCGTCCTCGTTGCATTTGAGATGAAGGCCTGGAAAAATAACAGAAATTGATTACAGATGTAGCAAAATCTGTGTCCGAGCTTCGATAAAAGGCACAAATAAAAACGTGAGTTTGTCAGCCAGGCGCGGTATGGGGAGGGAGGGGAGGACTGCCAAGCGTTAGCGCATATGGAAAAAGAAGCCAGTCCTTCCTTATATTTCTCCCTTACCTTTTCCTTCCATCAACTTCTCCCCCCCCCCCTTTTTNATGGCTCGGAGATATTTTGCTTCGGGTGTGTGTGTGTCTTTCGATTGGAAATGTCTTTATGTTCTATGAAGCTGTCCAAATGTGGAATGATGTAACCTGGTCTAATTCGAATACAGATATTTTTCAAATGCATTATTTGTAATTGCACACCTCATTTGTCTTGATTGTAATTTATTGCTGATAACAAACCTGTTACTGTAGATAACAAATCCTACTGCCCCGCTCAGGCGTAAAACTTCGCAAGTCAACTTTATTAGCTGAAACGCATCACGGCAGTAATCAAAACCTGGAGAACTATATGAGAAATAAATGATGGAACTCAATTTCGGTTCTGGGCATACAAACACCTGTTCACGGTTCCAACCATTTTCACTATCCAGGAATAATCATAACTCAGTACCCTCTTACTCCACATTTATCTACGCACTGGTTGCCGGTTTTCTCCGCATACTGCCGTTTCTTCTGCCAGTTCTCTTTCCACCAGCTGCTCCACATTCATTAACCATTCGATCATCCGACGCTTTATAGTCTCGATACTGACAGCGTCGTTGAATAACCAACTTATATGTAGAATATGTATCTAAGATACAGTTCAATAATGGGAACCACACTCTGTAGTGGAAGGGGTATAGTCCGTCTACCCTGCGAATCAACGAACGTCATACTCTGTAGAGGCGAACTTTTTCCAACGGTGTATGAATACCGGCTGTATATCCAAAACAGAATCTTGCAACTTTCTACAGATGACGTAAGGTTCCACGACAGGGACTCTCGTTCCCACGGCAGATGGTGTATAGCAGTGTTTCTCAAACGCCGGGCCGTGCGGCCCGATACCGGTCCCTGGCATCAGTTATACCGTGCCCTCGTCTTATAGGAAAACGAATTTACCAGCCCCGATCTGACAAAGGTTGAGAACCACTGGTGTATAGCACTCCTGCTTAGCATTAGGGACTTCCTGTTCAAAAGCCAACCCGGATGGCAAATGGGATCCTTCTTATAGTCCCTTCAGGTAGATTCAGGGATACTGTTTTAAATTAGGTCACGTACGTTTCGTTCCACAACAGTTCGTATTTATTATGTCTACTGGTCATACAATTATTCGACACCAAATACTGTTAGAAATGAATAACGCTGTTAAATAAATAGAGAAAAATACACATTGTATTTCATAGGGTACCCGACTTTCGCTCAAACTCTTATAAAAATAATAAATTCTTATGTGTTTATATAAATATTGGTTCCAACATCGAGAATCTTGTTTCTCTAAGAAGCCCTCTTTAAATAATTGTTGTTGTAGGTCTACCTGTAAAGTTCGCCATTTTGATGATTTTAGTGAAGTGCTGCTAACAGTCGAAATAACGTGTTCAGCTAGCAGACAAGCAGTCACGCCTTATAAAATATGCAGAGTTAATTTGTTACTGCTGTTTTAATGAGTGGGTAATTTTGTTTACAAGCGTGTCTAAGGCACGTGCGTGTCATTTAAGAGAGAAAATATTCCAGCAATATATCTCTCCACCTTTAAACTCACTCAAGGTCATAGATGTGACATCATTATGGATTCGCTCATAATAGAAAATGGAATAATTAGAACTACAGAGAGGCATTTGCCATGTTAGGTGGGTCCCTTGTCACCACGGCATGGTGCGTCATCAGGTTGTGGATGGAGGAGACGGCCTCCAGGTACGGAGCAACGCTGCAAATATATTAAATAAGCAGTCGCAGTAAGTTGACAAGGGGTGGTACTCCAGCTTGGAGGTTGGGCGTGAGGCTAAAGACTCCTCGCCGTAAAAATAATCCTGTTACGAAAATGAACATAAAGCCTCGGACGTGTACGGATCCTCTGGATAAACGACCTAGGCTAAAGAAAATGGTCATGAGATTCGGGACTTTGAACGTCAGAAGTATGTATAGGGTAGGTTCGCTCAGGGCAGTGGCGGAAAAAATCTCAAAATATAAGTTAGAATGTTATATTTTAGCGTCCTGTTGCACTGATTATCATCCATTATATGTATACAGTGGCCGTCTTGTAGTGCACACAATTTCACCTGTCACTTCACAACATGTTTCGGCAACACAGTGCCATCATCAGGTGTCCCAACTACGTCAATCTATTGCATTGCCTGCCTTCATATGTTTTCACCAACCATTTAACCAACGATGTGTTGCCGAAACATGTTGTGAAGTGACAGGTGAAATTGTATGCACTACAAGACGGCCACTGTATACATATAATGGATATAAGTTAGATGTAGCGGGAGTACAGGAGGTCAGATGGGACGGAGGTGACATTGCACCAGCAGGCGAATATAAATTTTTCTATGAACAGGGGAATGAAAATCATAAATTAGGTTCAGGTTTTTTTTCGTGCATAAGGGAATCGTATCAGTAGTTAACAGGGTAGATTTCGTTTGCGATAAAANCCAACGATGTGTTGCCGAAACATGTTGTGAAGTGACAGGTGAAATTGTGTGCACTACAAGACGGCCACTGTATACATATAATGGATGATAATCAGTGCAACAGGACGCTAAAATATAACATTCTAACTTATATTTTGNAAATTAGGTTCAGGTTTTTTTTCGTGCATAAGGGAATCGTATCAGTAGTTAACAGGGTAGATTTCGTTTGCGATAAAATATCATACACTGGTACTACTATAGTCAGTAAGTTCGTGGACTGGCCGCAAAGCGTCGTTGCAGTGCACTACAGCGGATAGGTTGAGGCATGATATGATGCCCTGTCACTTCAACTCTCGTCACAGCAAGACGCAGTTGTGTGCAAACAGTGTAAGCAGAACTACGGCCTCTATTGTGAACTGCAGTTAAATGCAAGTGGCAGAAATCGAAAATGTGGCAGTTTCAACAACGGGCAAACATCAAATTGTGCCCATAACTAGGAAAATCCCCTAGCAAAACATTTGGCGTAGCAAGAATTAGCTGTTGCTACACGACAACGCCCCTGCACATCGCTCTGTTCTTGTCCAAGAGGAACTGGCAAGGCAACAGGTCACCGTTTTGCCACTCCCTTTGTACTCACTTGAACTCGCACCATGCGATTTCTTTCTCTTTCACCGCTTGAAAGCAAAGCTACTTGGTCGTAGATTCCAGTCGTCCGAGGAGGTCCTCAAAGCCACAAGAGACACCGTACGGGAAGTTCTTGCCAGTATGTTTGAGCAATTTTTTTGGCAGCTATATCGACGTTTACAGACTTGTATAGCGGCCAACGGCAATTATTCTGAGGGCCGATGTGATCTGTGTAAGTGTATGTGAATACCTTTTAATATGATGCGATAAAACCACAGTCCACGGACTTAATGACTGTACCACATATATACTAAAAGGCCGCTGGTGTGATATCATCATTATGAATGTTCACGCCCCAACAGACGATAAAATTGATGACATAAGGGATAGACTCTATGAAGAAATAGAATATGTATCTGATAAATTCCCGAAGTACACTATGAAAATTTTGTTAGGAGATTTCAATGCCAAAGTAGGGAGGGAAGACATTTTCAAACCAACGATTTGGAATTAGAGTCTGCATGAAATTAATGATGATAATGGAGTTAGAGTAGTAAACTTTGCCACATCGAAAAATCTGTCAAAAGTACAATGTTCCCGCATCGTAACATCCATAAATTTACTTGGACATCTCCTGATGGGAAGATACAAAATTAAATAGACCATGTTGTGATAGATAGGAGACTGCATTCAAGCATACCTGATGTCTGATCATTCAGGGTAGCAGATTGTGATACTGACCATTACCTGGTGTTGGCAATGGTTAGAGAAAGACTGACAGTGAGCAAATAAACAACACACAGTGTTCATATGGATAGGTTCAATCTCGAGGAATTAAATGAGATAGAGGCTAATGAGTCGTATTGTGTTGAAATCTCAAATAGGTTCTCAGCTTTGAAAAACTGAGCCGTTAGTACCTGATCCTAGCCCTTTTGAGGTTGAAAGTGCTATTGCAAAATTGAAACGGTATAAATCGC